CACAATCATATTGTCCGATACCATTTATCAAAACTGTATCAGGCACGGGATCTAATGTTCCGGGATATAAATAAGTTTGTAAAAGAATATGAGCTGGAACATGATACCAATCGGTGATTTGAAGAATTTCTTCATCTTGATAGTAAGATTTCCATGGATCATCTGGATCTTTAATAATTAAAGCACCTTTTAATCCATCACCATATTGCATTGCATAATGAGAATGATACCAAAAAGTACCTGATTGACCTTCCGTAGAAAATGTGTAAATAAATGATTGACCAGGTAAAATTTCACATTGTGTTACACCTGGAACACCATCCATATGTAAACTGTGACGTTGTGATAGACCATGCCAATGAATTGCTGTTGGCTCAGATAATTCATTAATGATTGTAATGTTAATAAAATCATCGCGTGTGACAATTATTGTCGGAGCAGGAATTTCATCGTTGATACTTAAAATCGAGCGTTCGTCAGTATCGGGAGAAGTATTAAACCATCGAATGTGAAAGTCTGCGTTGTATACGTGAACATCATCTATAGAGAATCACAAATAGATATGTATCAAGTCATCGACAACTGGAAATTTACGATTTGATAGGTGGCAGAAAAGACTATCGGGATGAAAATCTGAATTCGGTTGTAATTGTAACCAACAGGTTGCATAGGAAAAGGTCAATTTTTCTTCGACTGAGATTTGAAATTGATGACCAAGAGAATGACGACTGGATTGGTATTCTTTCGTACCATCTTCGCCATAAAAACAACGCTTTGCACTTCTGATTTGACTCATAGTGTTCAATTGACCTATTAGAATCTGTTTGCGAAGGAAATCATTCATAGAAGAAGAAAATTGAAATTGATAAACATCATCTTCTAACCGATCCTTCGAAATCATCTTTGATATGCTCGAAAAAGCAAAAGTATCACCTGAATAACAATCATTCAATTGTTCTAAAAGATATTCTAAAGAAGAATATTATCGACAAATGAACTTTTTGTATCGAATTCAATTTCTCACCTGGTATTTCGTATTCACCTTCCGAATTTTCTATCGAATATTCATCACTATACTCGCTGATCGCATAAATATTCTTGAAAATTCCAACGTATTCCTCACTCTTTTATAAAAGTTCAATATACTCACCAAACAAAGGAAAAGAATTTTAACCAAATGACTTATTAAGAATATTGCAAACATTTCAGATGTGAAACAAGTTACTCTTTTATCAAAACATATCTTTGTCTGTAAATTCAGATGTACTCGGCTAGTTCTCCTTGTTTTGTTTATCATCTTGTTTCAATGAAACATCTGCAATCAATTTTTCGTTTTCAGACAGTGTTGAAAAACGTGCTCCGCTCTATTCATCTATTGTATTTGAGAAGTCCTCGCTCTCTCCAATGCTAGCGAAATTTTTTGAAAAAAATATTTTTGCTCAGGTCAAGCGTCAGACACCATCGTATGAAACTGATCGTTTCAAAATTCATTATGACGATGTAACCGATTATCTGGAATCTAACGGCGTTACAATAATACCTTATGCTTTCTAGTTATTTGATTTTATCAAAGATAATCCAGCCGATGAAGACGATCTGGATTTGTTACATAATGCTGTCATTGATTTCAAGAAATCCGTAAATCGTGAAGAGTGTATCTCTATGTCGATAATCACGAACATTATTTTGAACGTTTAATGATATGATAAGAAAATAAAAGCGAAAGTAAAAATCGGAAAAAATCAGTTTTTGTAGCAGCGAATTCTAGGCAAAAATATATCTTTCTCGACCTCTATTTCGCGAAATATGGTATCTCTCTCACAACTTTTGGACAGGCGTAGTTCGTTTGATTTGGTGTACATAACCAATCAAGACAAATATTTGTATAATTTCTCCAAATAAACTTGATTTGCTTTCACTTCCGGATGATTAGGTTCAAACGCTAAAAGAGATAGTTCTACTGCAGTATTAGCATGCTGTGTAGCCGTTGGATAATCATGTAGTTGTTCGAACACTTGAGCCAAGTGAAAGTGTATAGTTGAAAGCAAACGATATTCTAGCGGACACCATTCGTCACATTTTCTTCGAGCTTTGTTAAAATATAGATTAGCATTTGCATAGTCGTGAAGTTCCATATACGACATACCCATACTATTGTATGCAATGGCAAGCTCTTTGTACTCTGGATCTGCTTGATTTTCTTCGATCTCAATATATTTTTTAAGATAAATTAATGAAGTAGAATAATTTCCAACATAACTATGTGCTAATCCAACATTTCTATTAGCAAAAGCATGTACACTACGAAACATATATAAATTTTTTTCAACAATTTGAAGAACCTTTTCATAATATATGAGTGATTCCTTAAATTGTTTCAATAGACTGTATACTCTACCGATCATACCATAGGCATAACATAGATCAAAGTGCAATTGAAAGGGATAAGAATTTTCCGATGTTTCATATATCTCGATTAACTTTTTGAAGTACGAAAGAGCATTTAAAAGGTCACCTGTTTCTATTAGAATTTCTGCAATCCTTTTGTAAGTATCTCGTAAAGACCAATTCTCGCAGGAAAATGTCCTTTCTTTAACTTCAAGTGCTTTCTTGTAATGAACAAGTGCAGCTGAGTAGTTTTTCATTTCGTAATGAGTTTTACCTACGAAATCATACATGGAAGCAACATCTGATTGATCGAGAGCAGATAATACTTGATTTATCTCCAACACTTTTGTCCAATACGATATAGCATTTGAATCTTTTCCCATTAACATATAAAACTTCCCCATATAACTGTACATGCGAAATTCATCCTTAGGATTGTCTGTGGAAGATTTTTGATAGTATTCTAATGCTTTATCGAGACACGATATACCCATCGCATAGTTTTCCATTAAGCCATATGTTACACCCATACCAATATATGGCTCATATGATTGATATTGGATTTTTAAAGGAAATTGGTTATAAATATCAAGTGCTTTTTGATAATAAGGTAACGATAGCTCATATTCTTCGACAATCTGATATACATCTCCAATGCTCTGCAGTGTCAGAGCTTCATCGATGGAGAAAGAACCGGTTTTTTGACATACATCCAAAGATTCCTGTAGAAATGACAAGGCTTTCATAAACTCTTCCATAACTATGTGGATTTGAGCAATATTTCTATATGTACCTGCCAAGTACTGACAATTGAAACAAGATAATGTTAGCATAATTTCTACGGCCTTTTGATAGTGTAAAAGTGCATTATTAGTATCCTTTAGATGAGAATACAAGACACCAATATTGTTGTAAGTAGTAGCTAGCAATGGATGATTACTAGGAAGTGTTTTTTTATGTATATCAAGTGCTTTTTCAGAATATGGCAGCGCATTTATAGCGTCGTTCATTCCAATATATGCCTGAGCCATATTATCATAAGTTGTGGCCAAGTCTGGATGATTATCAGGCACCCTTCCTTGAAGTTTTTCTAAGGATTTCTGAAAATATGAAAGAGCTTTCATGTGTTCTTTAACGTTCATATACACAAGACCGATATTGTTATAAGTGGAAGCCAATTTCGTTTTATCGTCAGTACTATGCTTAAGATAGATAGTGAGTGCCTTTTGATAAAATAATAAAGCATTGTCGTAATCAGATGCATCTTTATATGTTCCAGCCAGATTATTATAAATGTGGCCCATTTCAAAATCATTGCTTCGAAGATATTTTCCTTTTAGATCAATCGACTTCTTAAAATAATCAAATGCAAGAGAAAACTCACCGATACCCTTTTTTGCACAAGCAATTTCATGGTACAGGTCTGCGAGTGTTTCCCAGTCATCAGAAGGAGTGTCCTTTATCCAGTTTTGGTAAATCGCTTCAGCTAGATCATATTGTCCCATTTTCATTAACAAACTAGTCAATTGATATATACCTTTTAATTTTTTAGTATCTTTTTCGAAATAATCAGTCAATTGTTTCAATTCAACATCGGTATCATTTGTTAGTCTCAGTTGTACTTGCCATAACTGATCTTCCAATTGTTCCAATTTCGTAACTCGAAAAATAGCATGTGTAGAAAACAGAACTTCCTTCTCGGAGTCACCGTAATAACTGATGTTATCCAATGTTGCAAATCGAGTCGATGTTATCGGAGGATTTATTTCCATTTCGAATAAAATACCAACTGTATTGTTCATAGAACGTACACTGTCTGCGTAATGAAATGATACTTCTCGATCAGTGCTTGTTGATAAGAAATTATTAAAGGACAAAAGACCATTCTCACTCTGTTTTAACTTTTCAAAATCCAAGTTTGACATCCCTTGTCCTCTGTATAACATTAATTGCTGTTGATTATACGAGATGCAATGCAGTTGTTCAATTTGTTGATGTAAATCACGCATAAAAAAACTCATTTTCAATAACATATCCAAGTCTAACATTCTTAATGCTCGATTCAATGTAACATAAAGAAATGATTCTTTCGTATACCACCAAATCGGTGAGTGTTGATAATAATTTGTTTCAAAATCATTAATTGCTCGTAAATCGTGATCAGTCTGAGCATATGTTTGACGTAATGCATCACTAAATTCTGTTCGCGATTTATCATCGTAAGAAAGTATAAGAAAAGTATCTTTTAGCAGTTGTGAGTACATAAACTCTGACGGAAGTATATCTTGACGCTGGTTGGAAATATCTTTTGGTGAAAAGATACTAATAGAATCGGATTGATAACAATCCCATTGGGTTTCCTCTTGGATTAAATTACAGATATGTTCCATATGAGGAAAATATCCCTTTACCTTGATCAATTCTTTGCTCCATGCCTCGTTTCTGACACCATTTTCATGTAAAATATAGATGGAAATAATTTGTGGTATATCATGAATTAATAATAAAAAATATTCATTAATTAATCCTGATATAATCAGAAAATGTTTTTTATATGTAAACGTAGTAATAAAATCTATGCATTCGTCGGTATCATTAAAATTTTCTATTGTATAACCGAAATTTTGAAGATTAACTTTCATATGTTTACTATCTTCATGACACTCGTTCTCATCAAGACATAACCAAGTAACAATTGAGCTTTCGATTGTCTCAGTATGTCGACTAAATGACGATGGCGTATTAAAATTATTATTTATCATACTAAATCTGATTAACAAGTCAAATCGTTTTCAATTCTATTTTCAGATAATTACTAGGGCTGAAGAATTCGAGTGATTAATCTGTGAAATAGTAGTCGTTTATTGTTGAATTAAAATCGATTCACATTGAATACATACTTTTACTTATCTTGCTTGTAACGAAATTCGTGATATAATAAAAGAAAATATATCTTGCCAAAATCTTGTATGACGTTTTTATTATACAGAAAAGGCAGTAAATATATAATAAGATAAGGACAATAACGTTGTAGGAATCATTGGCAATGTTTCCTAATGACAAAGTGCACTCTATAGAATAGGGTGCGCGAAATATCTGTTTTTTTCCAAGCGCACTGTAAACTTTCAAGGTAAAAAATACTCTATGTTCTGCATAGGTTCATTTCTCCTCTACAAAGAAAATTATGCTTGATCGAACGATAGTAACGACTTCCGATCCAAACATGTCCTGTATGTTTAATCCTTTCCTTACCAAATAGGAAGTTTGCTGATGTCATACGCCTAGGTCAACAAATCCGATCGAATTCCCGGAAACGGAACTGCACTGGGATCCGAGTACGGGATTGCTGATCGACCTGGGTTCGTATATCCGTATCACATTGTATACAACTTACTTCATGCTATAATCGACGGTCTTGCAACTGGAACATACCAAGCTGTTCACGATTGCGATCAGATTTTGCACTAGCATGAGAAAATCTGTGAATGAACAGTAGTTTGTGGTACTTTTTCTAACGGTCACAAAATTATGGCCCGTGTGTACTTTGTAAATGAGAGTGAGAGTATAAATTCAAATTTAGAAAAGCATCAAATATCAGTTAAATATCTTTTCATTCGCCATAATAAAGTCGATAAAAAGTAATATATGACGCTCATCTAAGACTGAGACCTCCCTAATCTCGTTGTTATTGAAACTCTGAAGGTGGATGTGGACGAAATTTTTTACTCTCATATCCTCTCGGACTTTATTATTAATCAATAAGGTGTTACATGAAAAAGAAACTCTAATCGATCAACTAACTAACACTGAGAATAAATAAATGTTGATTAAGAACAGTGATATATTCATGTCTATATTTTGGCATCATCTTTTTTTCCTAATATTAAAATGTCTAGCAAAAGCAACAGAATTGTGCTCTCATGAATATTAATCAAAGTCCACGAGCGATCATCAGTCTGTGAAGACTGAAAGACCAAGAATAGAATATCAAACATGTTAATCAAATTTATGTGTCTGCATTGTTTTTGATCCATCAGTTCTTATGGATGATATATACGGACAAATAGAAATATCGAGAACGGTAGTTTATGAAAAGAGAAATCCCTTATACCCTCACCCTCTTTACACGATTTCACTAAGGGAAATAATACGTTTCATATTCACAAAGCATAAACTGGATTTTGTGAATCGCAGCAGCTATTAAAATTAGAGATAAAGAAGTATTGAGCTGACCTCACGATCGACTTCCAAGGAAACGAATCAGGAAAACAGCCCTGACAACTTTATTCAACTAACACCTCAGCACTTTCTCAAAATCAATTTGTGACTTCTCGAATGACAAAGTCAATGAATAAGTCACGAAGATTTCAAACGTACAAGCCTACCTATAGGACTATATCTGTATCAAAATGAGCTTCCACTACTCAAATATCCGACCCAACCCAGCCCATGTCACAATAACATAGACTACCTATATGACTGTATTCATATCAAAACTAATCTGCTGGTAACAGAGATAATGTTCCCTACAAAGTGTCTAGTAGCTTTATCATTGTTGTTCAAAGAGATAAATTTATTATAGGAAACCTTAAAATCATAATAATAGTAGGTGTAGCTTCGTTCATGGAGTTTCACCAAAAATCTATCTTGTAGTCAATATAGAGCCAGAAGATAAAATTGTTTACTGTTTGAATATTTATGTTGTAGGAAACTCATTTGGTTTCTCTGTGAATTCATTTTTAAATTTTTTTAAACTTCCTGGAAATGAGAATTTACCATGTCCTCATCAGCACGATGAGCAAGATAGATATCTCCATGGGTGAATGACATATGTTGCCAAGGTTGTTGAGCTCCACCTGTTTCTCTAACAACATCATGGGTGACATCGATCATCAAGTCTTGTAGTTGTTCATTTGGTTTTGTAATATGACGAAGGAGATGTTTAGTATAGGTGCCATGATTATCGGTGCTATTTTCATCCGATGATGTTTGGTTGGGTGCACAAGCAAAACAGATGAATGTATTTCCATCTCCATGCATCGGTGCAAGACCATGTGTTTCTGAGTCATTGCCGCTATTCAGCGCTGAACTACGTAGATAATAAGTACGACAACAATCGAGGATGAAAATACTAGCAAATGGCTTGCGATTGGTCATGTGTTTGAGAACATCTTGAGCATTGATGGCAGAGCGAGTGATATTTTCTTTTGTCAAATTTTCATCATCACAAGCTACCAAAAAGTTCTGATCCTAGATGAAAGAGAATGGTAGCATCGTTTAATACTTGTTTGTTATCATAGAAAAGGTTTTTGTCCTACTTCCCACTGTGTCCCATGACCAGAAAAATAGAACAAAGCCATATCCTTAGGTTGAATATCATCAATAAACTTATTTATGTCTGACTGCATTTGACCGTATGTCAGATCGAGTCCTTTCGAAACTTTGAAACCGATTGATCGTAGAGCGTCACACATTCCATTTGCATCGTTCACTGTATTATTTAATTTGGAATTTCTCTGATAATGACTGTTACCGATTACTAACGCTGTTTTGCGATATTCAGCAGAAGATCCATGTGAATTGTTCTCAGCTTTCTGACGAGTTCCGAACATCTTTTTGACTGTAAGTTTGAAAAGTAAAAAACCAGAAAAAAAGTAATCGTGCTTCGTAAACACTTGTTTTAAATATACAGAATATGATTGAAAGCAACCTTTTAAGTACCGCGCTGCCTCTGCATCATATGTTGTACAAACAGAAAGCATATTTATTTCTCCACAGACATGCATCGTTACCAAGAAAATTTCGAGCTTTCGGCGAATGTCGAAGTCGACTATTCTCGAAAAATATTCACGTGTAGGCGAGACCAAGAAACATCTTGATGAGCTCTATCAGTTCCAATCCTAAAATTTTTTCACCACACCCATATTCACCCTCACCCCACCCTTCACCCACCCTCACTCTCACCCAAAAGCTGAAAACCTGAAG